CTGACCACAGATGTATTGTTTTTAGCTGCGATTTGCCTGTTACTCATGCCGCCTCACCAAGCTCCGTGTGTTCTCGCATCTTTAATGAACAAAGTGTTTCAAAGTTTTGCGCATTCTTTCAGAGCCAAAGTCTGATTCCAACACCAACAATCTGGTCGATCAATTCAATCATATCTGCTTGTCGTCACTAAATATTACTGCTCCTCTAAAGGTTAGGCCTACGTCTAAAGCTAGTAAGCAACCCTGGATAAATGACAGCATTCGCAGCCTAAAAAGGGAATGCAGGAAAGCAGAGCGCAGATGGAAAAAATCCAGTCTCCAAGTCCATTACCTCAGTCTGAAGGATTTATTAATTAACTACAATAACATGGTTAAGGATGCGAGAACACACTATTTTTCTGAACTCATTACTACACATAAACACAATCCCAGGTTTCTGTTTAAGACTGTGGATCAGCTGGCAAACCCAACTCCTCCTTGTGCCTCAGCTGGAAGTAATGATGACTGTGAATTGTTTTTATCTTATTTTACCAATAAGGTGGTGTCAATCAGAGCCTCTATTACCCCCGCGGCCTCTTACTCAGAGGTTCCTCACCAGCAACAAGAGAGTTTTAACCAGTTTTATCCCATCGACTTGTCTGAGCTTTTAAAAACAGTATCTCAAATGAGAGTGTCCTCCAGCCCACTTGATGTAATACCTACAAAGTTTTTACTGAAAATAATAGATTCTGTTGGGCCCCATTTGATCTCTGTTTTCAACAGCTCCCTATCTACTGGTTGTGTCCCTGATTATTTTAAAACGGCTTACGTGAACCCACTTTTAAAGAAACCTGGTTTAGATCCCTCCCTCCCACATAATTTTAGACCAATTTCAAAACTGCCTTTTATTGCAAAGATTCTAGAAAGAATTGTGTCCAAACAGCTGCTCACTGTACTGGAAAATAACAAAATATTGTCAATACCTGAGGCTCTGGAGACTGCCAAACAAAAACTTACTGCTCTGGCTACCTGTCTAAAAGAGATACAAGGGTGAAGCAGAAGCCAGAAAAATAAACCGGATGTTCTCCACCATACCATCCAAAGTGTACTCTCAGTGGCAGTGTAATAACACTAGATCAGATCCACCCAGGGCTGAGACTGAACAGTACTGGAAGAACATATGGGAGAAAGTCGCATCCCCCAACACCAATGCTCAGTGGCTAGTGGATTTAAGAACAGATCACAGCAGTCTCCCAGAACAAGGTCCAGTAACCATTCCAACAGCAGACATCCAAGAAAGTGTGGCAGGTATGAAGAGCTGGAAAGCACCAGGCCCTGACATGATCTACACCTACTGGCTGAAGAAACTAACTGCACTCCATGAACGCCTGGCAGCACAAATTAACCAACTGCTGATGGATGGGACCCACCCAAGGACGGACAGTCCTGATCATGAAGGACCCCCAGAAGGGAACAATCCCATCCAACTACCAGCCAATAACCTGCCTCTGCACAACATGGAAGCTCCTGTCAGGCATCATAGCGGCTAAGATGAGTAGGCATATGGCTCAATACATGGACAGGGCCCAGAAGGAATTGGGCAGTAAGCCAAGCACCAGCTACTGGTTGATAGAGCAGTCACTTGAGACTGCAAGACCAGGCAGACCAATCTGTGCATTGCCTGGATTGACTACAAGAAAGCCTACAACTCAATGCCACATACATGGATGCTGCAATGCTTGGAAATGTACAAGATCAACAGGACACTAATAGCCTTCATCAAGAACTCAATGGGGCTGTGGAAAACAAGTCTGGAAGCCAACTCAAAGCCACTTGCACAAGTCACCATCAAGTGCGGCCTATACCAAGGCGATGCACTATCCCCGCTGCTGTTCTGCATAGGCCTGAACCCCCTCAGCCAGATCATCACAAAGACCAGCAACGGATACCGGTTCCGAAGTAGAACAACCATCAGTCACCTCCTCTATATGGATGACATCAAGCTGTATGCCAGAAATGAGCGAGACATCAACTCACTGATCCACACTACCAGGAACTACAGCAACTACATTGGAATGTTGTTTGGACTGGACAAGTGTGGCCGCATGGTATCAAAAAGAGGGAATGATCAGAACCGAAGGGATTGAACTACCAGAAGGCCACATTGCAGATGTTCAGGACAGCTACAAATATCTTGGGGTGCCACAGGCTAACGGAAACCATGAAGAGGCAGCAAGAAAGTCCGCCACAGCCAAATACCTACAGAGAGCAAGGCAGGTCCTGAAAAGTCAGCTGAATGGAAAGAACAAGATCCGAGCCATCAACACATACGCCCTGCCAGTTATCAGATACACCGCTGGTATAATAAACTGGCCTAAGGAGGAGACAGAGGCCACTGACCTCAACACAAGAAAGCTCCTCACAATGCATAGAGGGTTTCACCCCAAATCTGTGAGACTGTGCACCACGCGTAGCAAGGGAGGCCGAGGGCTAGTGAGTGTCAAGACCACTGTCCAGGATCAAATGACAAAGATCCAAGCGTACATCAGGAAGATAGTCCCCAAAGATGAAGGGCTAAGTGAATACCTCAAGCAGTAGAAACCCAAGGGTGAGGACAAGGAAGACGAAGAACCTTCATGGAGAGACAAGCCACTGCATGGCATGTACCACAGACAAATAGAAGAAGTGACTGATATCAAGAAGCTTGAGAAATACCAAGGGCTGAGGAGCTAGAAAAGATGTGGAAAGTAAGAGCAACAGTGGTGCCAGTGGTAATCAGAGCACTGGGGGCTGTTTATAGGCCTGGGTATTGGAGCCGGTTTCTGAAAAGGCAAACTCAGAGTCCTGACCCGACTCTCCACAGCGATTCGAATTATCCACGCAACACATTCACTATTTTTCAGAAAGTGAAAGTTTAACACAAATGTAGAACCACAGTAAAGGGTCTTCTGGGTTCTGCTTGAACCATAAAAACAATAGAACAAAAAGAGCTCTCCACTAAGAGAGACAGTTACCAAGCTCCACAAAATAAAGTGAAATAAAAGAAGTTCTCTCTTCAGCTCCAAATGATTTTAAAAGCCAAAATACAAAGAGAGCAGCAGCCATAAACCAAGAGAGGCTAACAGGGGAATTAATAAAGAACAAACACTCCAGATCTTTGAAGCTGTTAGATGGCGGGCCAGAAAACAGTGAAATGATCATTTAAAATCCTCAGAGTTACGTGCGCCTGGTTATCTCAGTCAGTGGTGTGCAGGACTCCTGTTGGGAAGAGTGTGTGTTCGATCCCCACATAGTGTGAATGTTTTTTTCCTTCCACAAATTGATTATGACACTGGTTCACATGCTCACAATTAAGCATGTGCTGGAGTGTTTGCGTCCTGGCATTTGATCCACATCCATCAACCTATAGATGCCTATTTTCATGTCACCAGCATCTCCAGGCAGAGGAACTTCCTGCACTTCTCATTCAGGGTATTATATCTCAGTTTCCTGACGGCTTTTTGAGAGGTGTGTCAAGCAAGCCAGAGACTCTTTTGAATGTCCTTCAGAACTTTTCAATGTAAAAGCACTCAATGAAACGTGACATTAAGCATTGCTGCGAAAAAACATTCTTGCACTTTTACTAATTACACACCTCAATACTGAGCCAGCAGCTAATAGATCTCTCAAGTCAGTAGTAGTTAAGGATGACAAAAGCTCGGAGTGAGAACAGCTTAACATGACACACTTGTGTCCAACAGAGTACAAAATGTAACTTAATTTAATGCAACGAGGCCGACGGTTCAAGGAAAATCACCACCGCCAGGAACTAACAGACACCATGAGGCCAACTGAGCACTCAAACCCAGCGGGGGCTCGAGCAGCAAGCTAACACGCTATTAAAGAACAGCCCTGTAATGAGTTGTATTTTTTCCCTGTGGGTTTCTGGTTTTTGCCATTATTTCCTTAGTCCTGTGCTTTTGTCATGTTAGTGTTTTTCTGATCTGCGTACTCCTGTGTTTTATCATTATGGTCCTTAGTCTTAGTCTTATATCTCCATGTTTTAATGTAGTCTTGCCTCCTGTTTGGTCCAGTCTCCGTGCCCTGATTTTGCTGTCTTTCCATATTTTGTGTTTTACTTTGGTAGATCTGTCCTTGTGTGTTCCTGTGAACTTTACCTCCTGTTTTATTTTGGTAATTTTCTGTGCCTGATGTTCTTGTCTAGCTTTGTTCCTGTTGTTAGTTAGTGTATTGTCTTATGATTAGTTTTCCTCTGCCTTTGTTATTGTACTTTGGTTCATGGATTTGTGTCTGCTTGTGTTCTTGGTTATTTTGGTTTATTCTGTTCTGGTTTCATGATCTGTTTCTTTCTGCCCTGTTAACTGTGTCTGTCTGCTGTGCCTAATTAGTCCTGATCCCCTTTACCTGTGTTGGTCCCACCCTGCTCATTAGTGTGTGTGTGTATATATATACTTGCTTGTGTCTTCAATCTTTGTCACGTCCTTGCGTCAAATGTTGAGTGTTCTGCCTTGTGCTCTGTTTTCCCTGTTTTGGATTATTCCCTGTGTTTTTGGATCGCCTTGTGTTTGATGGATTTACCTCACGTTTGGACTTACCCTTGTGCTTCCACGTAAGCTTGTTTCAGTTTGGTCTTTGAGTGAATAAATCCTTTTGAACTGCATCCTCGCTTTTGGTTTGCATTTGGGTCCACACCTCAGAGTTCACTTAGCCAACCCATGACAAGTCCGTGTTGATGCAGTCTGCAAGAAGAAGGATCAGTCAGAACCAATCATCAGCCGGAAATCTCACAGCTGACTTAACGTTTCATCCACAGACTTAGAAATATTAAAACAAACAGACGTAACGCTCTTCCTGATTATTATCTTATATAAATTTTATTTCAACTATCAGACAACAGATATTTCCATTTTCTAAATATCTACATTCTAAACCTTCTTCAGCTCTGAACAGATTATTAAACACTGAATGATTTCAAGCAGGAACATTGTCTTCTAACGTTACATCATTCACTCTTTATTCAGACTGAGGGACTGCAGGTTTTCACAGATCCGCTGTGCTTCTCTGGCCTCAGCTCTGAAGTCCAACCCCTCACATCTGAGAGAGCTGGACCTGAGCAGGAACAGCCTGCAGGATTCAGATGTGCTGCTGCTGTCAGATTTTCTGGAGAGTCCACACTGCAGACTGGAGACTCTGGGGTCAGACACCATTTTTTCCTTCTGTGCTGAGATTAATATGATGTGAAAATTGTGGTGACACTAAAGTGCAGACATAAGGCTGATATTATACTGATCCACACTGAGGATCTTAATGCTAAAGTCTGTTTTCTTCTTCAGTGGTTTAGTCCATTGACTGTGGCAGAGCAATGTTGAGCTCCACATTTAAAATCTTAATAAAACAAGAAACATCTCCACTGGATAATTCACTCTGAACCTCTTTTTTACGTCCCGGCTTGATGGATAAAGAAAGCAACATGAACTGGATGTTTTTGGAAAGGTGAAAATGTGTTTAATTGTAAAGTCAGAGTTTAACACAAATGTAGAACCACAGTAAAGGGCCTTCTGGCTTCTGCTTGAACCATAAAAACAATAGAACAAAAAGAGCTCTCCACTAAGAGAGACAGTTACCAAGCTACACAAAATAAAGAGAAACAAAAGATCTCTCTTCAGCTCCAAATGGTTTTAAAAGCCAAAACACAAAGAGAGCAGCAGCCATAACCCTAGAGAGGCTAACAGGGGAATACTAAGACAACACAAAGGGATCGGTAGTGAAACTAAACCTTGGCCCTGTCCCACAGCTAGAATTAATAAAGAACAAACACTCCAGGTCAGGGGTCGGCTAATAAGTCTGGCATCGGACCAAATTTCAAATTTGGACCAAATTTCTATCAAGCTCTTAGATGGCAGGCCAGAAAACAGTGAAATGATCATTTAAAATCTTCAGAATTATGTGCGCCTGGTTAGCTCAGTCAGTGGTGTGCAGGACTCCTGTTGGGAAGGGTGTGTGTTCGATACCCACATACTATGAACATTTTTTTCCTTCTTGTTAAACAAATTCATTATGAGACTGGTTCACAATTAAGCATGTGCTGGAGTGTGTGCGTCCTGGCGTTTGATCTGCATGCATCAACCTATAGATGCCTATTTTCATCTCGCCAGCATCTCCAGGCAGAGGAACCTCCTGTACTTCTCATTCAAGGTATCTCAGTTTTCTGCTGACTTTTTGAGAGGTGTGTCAAGCAAGCCAGAGACACTTTTGAATATCCTTCAGAACTTTTCAATGTAAAAGCTCTCAATGAAACATGACATTAAGCATTGCTGCAAAAAATGTCCTTGGCTTTTATTTTGTTGGCAAAATCCCTTTAGAGGAAGTGATATGTGAGTAACTGCTGCTGTTGTGACAGAGATCCACTTCAGCAGAAGCCGCTTTTTTCTTTTGCTGCTATCAAAGTAACGTGGCAGCGGGCCAGATATTATTGCTGGGGTCAGCCGTCTTTTGCCGACCACTGCTCTAGATAATTACACACTTCATTACTGAGCCAGCAGCTAACAGATCACTCAAGTCAGTAGTAGTTAGGGATGACAAAAGTCCGGAGTAAGAACAGCTTGACACGACACACTTGTGTCCAACAGAGTAAAAAATGTAACTTAATTCTCTTCACTCAGCCAACACATGACAAGTCCATGTTGATGCAGTCTGCAAGTAGAAGAATCCGTCAGAGCCATTCATCAGCCGGCAATCTCACAGCTGACTTAACGTTTCATCCACAAACTTAGAAATCATAAAACAGACGTAACGCTCTTCATGATTACCATCTTATGTTCCACATCATGTTTTAAAGAAATGATGATAATAAAATACATAAATACAATGAATAAATAAATAATCTCTATTTCAACTATCGGACAATAATAAATATTTCCATTTTCTAAACATCTACATTCTAAACCGTCTTCAGCTCTGAACAGATTATTAAACACTGAATGATTTCAAGCGGGAACATTGTCTTCTAAAGTTTCATCATTTATTCTTTATTCAGATTGAGGCACTGCGGTTTGTCAGAGATCAGCTGTGCTTCTCTGGCCTCAGCTCTGAAGTCCAACCCCTCCCATCTGAAAGTACTGGACCTCAGTCACAACAACAAGCTGCAGGATCCAGATGTGCTGCTGCTGTGTGGTTTTCTGGAGAGTCCACACTGCAGACTGGAGACTCTGAGGTCAGACACCATTTTTTCATTCTGTGCTGAGTGTAATGATATTGACTATTGTAACAGCCAACCTACAGAGGGCGCCGTTTAGCTGGTGTTGCATTACGTTGCATGTAAAAAGAGGTTGAGCAATAAAACACTCTTGTGAATGGCAGTATGTGTGTTCAGTCAAGTCAAAAAATGGTACCAGGAGTAAAACATGAGCGTAATGAATAATATTCGCCCACCTGACGAGTTAAATTTGACGGGCAACGTCCACGCTAACTGGAAAGCCTTTAGGCAAAGTTTTGAGCTGTATTTGTCAGCTATAGGCCTGGATGAAAGAAACTATCGGCGGAAGATAGCTCTGTTTCTAACTGGGCTGGTCGGGCCGCGTTGAATGTGTACAACACGTTCGTCTTTTCGGAAGAGGAAAGAGACAAGCTGCCCGCGGTACTGAGCAAGTCTGAGGATTACTGCACGCCAGGAAAAAACGAAACATATGAACGGTATGTCTTCAGGAACAAAATGCAATAAGAGGCTGAATCAATAGAACTGTATGTGATAGACTTGGGCCTCATGAGTCAGTCCTGCAATTTTGGCACACTGTCCAACTCCCTGGTATGATCCCATACAAAGTTGTTTTCAGAGCCACTCTTTCAGGAGAGGGGCTCGAAACACTAAGGCTTCTTAAGAGAGTCCATGTTATTGATAGTGACCACTAGGGGCACAGCAGATAGCAAACAGATGGACACGTGCAGATTCCACCACTGAGATAGTGAGAGAGTACAAGGATGTATTCCAGGGTGTCGGCTGCCTACCTAACCAGTACAAAATACGTCTGAAAGACAATGCAGAATCTGTTATCCATGCAGCAAGGAAAGTGCCATTGGCTCTGAAAGAAAAACTGAGAAAAGAACTGAAAACCCTGTTAGGCTAGGGGATAGTGAGGAAAAGTGGAGGAACCTACAGACTGGGTTAATTCCCTCATTGTGGAAAAAAAGAACAGAGATATGAGACTTTGCATTGATGCAAGAGATCTGAATAAACGGATCAAAAGAGAGCACTATAGGCTGCCAACTAAATCAGACATCACAAGCTCAATTGCTTGGGCACATTTCTTTTTTCCAAGCTAGGCGCATCATCAGGGTTCTACCAAATTAAGCTGAATGAGGAAAGCGCAAAACTGTGCACATTCAACACTCCCTTTGGAAGGCATTGCTTCCTACGCATGTCCTTTGGAATTGCCTCAGTCCCAGAGGTTTTCCACAGGACAGTCCAATAAATGTTCGATGGCATGGAAGGGGTGCGAGTTTTCCTGGATACAAAGGCCGAACATGAGAGACTGAGAAAAGTAATGGCACAAGCATGAAAATCTGGGCTGAGACTGAACGAAAAAAAGTGTCAGTTTGGGGTGAGTGACATTACTTACCTGGGAGACAGACTATCTGTTGCAGGGATACAGCCAGACCCTGAAGAGGTAAGGGCTTTAACAGAAATGCCACCTCCCAAAGAAAAGACTGAGCTGCAACGTGCACTAGGCTTAATAAACTATGTGGGCGGAGGGAGGACCAGAGGAGGGCAAGTCAGCCAGGGTGGGTGGAGGGAGGACAGGAGGAGGGCCAAAACAAAAAGTCTCAATGGGCCAAATACAGGTAGGGCAAGGCAGTTCAAGAGGCTGAGCGAGGCGGCCAGAGGTGAACAAAAGTTCAGGGGGCAGACCCAGAGGCGAATCCTCCCTGGAGGCCGGCGGCGAAGGAGAGATCTCGCTGAAGGCCGGGCAGGGGACTGGCGGCGAAGGCCAAATCCCCCTGGAAGCCGGCGGCGAAGGCGAGATATCTCCGAAGGTCTCAGCAGGGGTTGCAGATGACGGCGGGGACCCATCCAAGGCCGAAGAAGGTGAGGCCTCTCCAAAGGTTGGGCAGGGGACCGGCGTAGGGAGCCTGGGGTCTCCAGTGGCGGAGCAGGGCTGAGGACCATGGGCCGAGCTGCTGGGCTGAGGACCACCGCCGAGACGACTGGGCTGATGACCATCAGCGGGACTGGTTCCGATCGGGCCACCAACAGGGAATGAGGAGCAGGAGTCAGCTGGACCTCCGGCGGAGTGGTTACCGGTCGGACCCCCGACGAAGAACAGGAAGCAGGCGTCGATCGGACCACCGGCGGAGCTGGTGCTTGTTGGACCACCGACGAGGGAACAGGAGTCGATCGGACCACCAGCGGAGCTGGTGCCACTCGGACCACCAACCGGGCACGAGGAACAGGAGTCGGCTGGACCACCAACGGAGCTGGTGCTTGTTGGACCACCGATAAGGGAACAGGAGTCGATCGGACCACCGGCGGAGCTGGTGCCGGTCGGACCACCGATGGAGCACAAGGAACAGGAGTCAGCTGGACCACCAACGGAGCTGGTGCTGGTCGGACCACCGGCGAAGCAGGTGCCGGTCGGACCACCGACGAGAGAGCAGGAGTCAGCTGGTGATCAGGCTGACTGCTAGCAGCGCTAGCAGGCTGGGGATCAGGCAGGTGGGCAGGCAGAAAGCTAGCAGCGCTAGCTGGCTGGTAATCAGGCGACGGAGGATTGGGGGTTAGCTGGCTGACAGCTAGCTGGTTGGCTGACTGGTTGGGGACTAGCAGTCCTTGGGCTCTCTGGCTCTAATGCCAAGTCCATCAAAAAAGAGACCAGAGAGCTAGATGTCCAGGAGTCCCCAACCAGTCCGGATGCTGGAGCCAACACAGGAGGGAGATGACCAGGCCGGGGATCAGGCTGGCGGCTAGCAGCGCTAGCGGGCCGGGGATCAGGCTGGCGGCTAGCAGCTTGAGCGCCACCAGGCAGTGAACCCTCGGGAGTGTCCAGTATCTGCTCCAGGTCCTCTTCATCCGTATGATGACGACCAACTGCTCAGCCAGGGAGGGGAGATTCAGCAGCCTTAGCTTGCTGCACAGGGTCTTCTCCATGAGGCCATAAACAAACAGTCTGCAATTCAAGTCTGTGGATTGAGGAACCTAACCTTTCGCAGGTCGATGTCCACTCCCTTATATCCTCTGCCAACAATACTAGATCCGCTGGGTCCATTTGTGGTCGGTTCATTCTGTCACGGGTATGTGTGGTGAAGTAGGTAGTAGGTTGGAGGACCCAAATGCAGGACTCGGAGCTGGCAGGTACAGTTCAGTGATTTATTTAAACAACTAAAGGCGAGCACACTTACAGGTTGAGTGGCTGATAGAGAGTCCAAAACAAAGGTTGTCCAAACCAAAATTCAAATGGTGCAAGGAAACAGGGAGACACGACGAAAGGGCAGAAAACAAGCGATCACACAGCAACTCAGGGAGACAGCATACAATGACCCGAAAAAAGACAAGACAGAAACACCAGGTATATATACACACACAGGGACTAACGAGCAGGGCGGGAGCGACACAGGTGAAAGACATGAGGCTAACGAGGCACAGGTAGGCAGAGAGAGAGCGGGGGAAAACAGAGACAGACATGCAGAGGGATCACTGGGGTAACAGACATGACAAAGGTTACTAAACACTAGACGACAGACAAGGCAGAACCCCAAAGCCCAAAAGACTAAAAGTACAAAACATGACATGGCAGACAGGATCGTGACAACAAAGGCATTGCGCAGCTTGCTGAAAAGTGGAACTGAGTGGCGGTGGTGATCACGGACGTGGCTGAATGGGACATGCTCAAGAACAGCCTAGTTGAAGAACCAGCGCTGAAATTCTTTGACCCAGAGATACCAGTGAAGGTATCTACTGATGCTTCAAAAGATGGACTTGGAGCACTTCTACTTCAAAAACATGACTTGTCATTGTTTCCAGTGGCCTATGCATCACGAATGATGACCAAGGCAGAACGAAACTATGCACAAATTGAAAAAGAGACACTAGGAACAGTTTTTGGATGTGAAAGTTCCATGAATACATTTATGGAAGAGTAGTGGTATTGGAGACTGATCACAAACCACTGATTGCAATCTCAACAAAGGCACTGGGTGATGATCCACCTCGCATCCAACGCCTAATGCTCTGTCTCCAGAAATACAGCCTGACATTCGAGTTGACATCAGGAAAGCACCTGGTAATCAGCAGAGCATCCTTAAGCCACACAGGGTCAAGTAACATGGAACATGATGTACAGGTTCATGTGAACTGCATACAAAAAGACCTACCAGTGTCCAAGGACAGATGGAAACAGATTGCCGAGGCAACGGCAGACGACCGTGAGCTGCAAGCTGTAATAGACAAAATCCACCTGCCAGGAGACCAGAAGCTAACAAATCCATATCAGAGCATTAAAGATGAGCTGTCAGTTGTGCGTGGTGTGCTACTGAGAGCTGAACGGATTGTCATACCTATCTCCATGTGCTCACAAATGGCAAAACTCACACATGAGGGACACTTAGGCATTGAGAAATACAAGAGTTGTGCAAGAGCTCTGATGTATTGGTCACCCATCAATAGGGACATTGAGGTTCTGGTGCAGCGCTGCGTGACATGTCAGCGGCACAGGTACCAGCAACCTAAGGAGCCACTTATGGCCCACAGCAAACCTGAGGAGCCATGGATAAAAGTTGGAACAGACTTATTCCAGCTGGCAGGGCTACAGCTTAGCTCAGTCAGTGGTGTGCTGGACTCCTGTTTGGGAAGGGTGTGTGTTCGATCCCCACATACTGTAAATATTTTTTTTCCTTCTTGTTAAACAAATTGATGATGACACTGGTTCACATGCTCACAATTAAGCATGCTGGAGTGTGTGCATCCTGGCGTTTGATCCACATCCATCAACCTATAGATTCCTATTTTCATCTCGCCAGCATCTCCAGGCAGAGGAACTTCCTGCACTTCTCATTCAGGGTATCCAGTCTCAGTTTCCTGACGGCTTTTTGAGAGGTGTGTCAAGCAAGTCAGAGACACTTTTGAATGTCCTTCAGAACTTTTCAATGTAAAAGCTCTCAATGAAACGTGACATTAAGCATTGATGCAAAAAATGTTCTTGAAAAATGTGCGCATAA